TTATAGTGAAGGTGCTGAACATGAAACTGATGATAAATTAAGTGGTATAATCAACAAAAGCATGTTTTTATCTAGCTTGTCTCCATTTAAAAAGTGTTATAAAAATGAAAAATATCTCTAATCCTTATTTCAATGTCCAACAAATAAGATTATTAACCCCTACTGTTACAACTACCAAGCTATTTGGACAAGTGTCCGAAAATTACTTTGAACAATTCTGTGTTTCATGGATGACCCTGGCTTAGAATACCTTCCACCGATATAAATTTCAAGAAGGAAAACTCTGACCTTCTTATTTAAAACATATTGTTCAACACTCACAGTGCCCACAGCATGGGCAGGGTTAAATACGCTTTAAATCCTTAAATTGCTTATATGGCTACTGGAGTCATTGGAAAAGCAGTTATTGATCAATACGTTTACTTTATTGATCCCAGACAAACAGGAAATTGTTAATGAATTACTTCTATCGCTCCACAGCATATTTAGATAGGTAATCAATACCTGAATTTAATACTACATTTGTCTGATACACACTCACATTCATTCAAAACTTGGAGGTTTATGAAATGCCTACTTGTATACTTGAATTCTTAATTCTGTACTAACTTTAGTCTTGGTTCAAACCCGGACAAAGTGGATCAAGTATTTCATTTATTTATGAAGTGTCCCCCTTTTTACCTCCCCCCCCCCCCCCCCAAAAAAAAAAAAAAAAAAAAAAAAAAAAAATCATTCTACAATGGAAAAAACACAACAGAACCAAAGAAAGAAAAAAAATTACATTTTGATTACATTTTGATTAAACTATATAATTGTATATCATTTGTGAAAGTATTCATTTTGTTTATTTATTTGAACAGAGTTAAACTAGAATAAGCTGTAAGGAATGAGCTCCTTGAAATGTCCTCCATGAATCAGCGTCCCATTCATTTTGGGTCAAAAGCATGCTTTTAAACGTTGATCATGGCATACACATTTATTATTCATTTAATAATATTCCAGTCAGTATTAGTCACGAATAATGGATACCCTCAGCAAGACAAGGCTTGTGAGTAGGACTTTTTTTGTTGTTTGAAAAGAGTAAATGCTGGATATACCTTGGTCCATTTTTATGAATACATGTACTTGCCAATGTACATGTATTCTTTTGTCTACAGTGTGTAAAGAATGATTTTTTTTCCTTGTTTGCGTCTCGCTGACACACTTTTTGCCAGACACTTAATATTATCCACCTGCCTACACATGTATTTGACCGAGTTTTGAATTTATAGTCAAACATATGACCATGGTTTGCAGGTTTCTTAGCTGTATGAAAAAAAAAGCCTTCCTTCTGAGCCTTGTTCACATTCGACATGCTGAACCTCATGAAAAAAAATACTGCAAAGCAAACGCATTTCATTATAGGATTAAATGAAAGACAGATGTACTGTACATCTTAGCAGGCTTTGCTGTCCATGGAATGGATTGTATTGAATTTCTAAGGAAAATAGAAAGAACAATTTCGAGGGTGATAAACAAGTGACTGTGTACAACAAAGGCCCACAGGGGCTGTGTTTAATAGATACAGAAGTGTAAAGAGTATCATGTTTATAGACTGTAAGGCAGGCCTTCTCAATTGGTTTATTAGAAGTGCCAAAACGAAATGAATTTTTAGTTGAAGTGCCAACCTGTATGTTTGATTTTGCTGCGAGGGAGCGTAGCAACCGAGCCGACAACGGGCGGGGTGCAGGGGGAGGAGCCCCCTGAAGCTGATGTATTTCAGGGCTTTCTAAAGGCCCAGATGTGGCATTTTAACACATTTTTATTCTGAAATATAGCAATCATAATTTCGTACAATTCCTGGGTATACATTCACACTGGAGATAAATTCATATGTACCGGTAGTGATTTTGGTGCAATAAACACGGGAATTGTCCAAATTAAGTGAAAATCAAACAAACAGAAACAATACAAGATGTTTCCAGAGATTGGCAATGTTATATTTGGTAGCACATCGTAAGCTTTTTGTTGTTTAGAGCTCAGGTCAGTTAAGAGTCGTATAAAATAGTACAAAAGGTTAAATTACCCTTTTTTCCTGTTTGTTAAGCAGACATTTTGGGTCTTTTTGATTTTGCTGAGTTTTTAATTCTAAATACAATTTTTATTAATATATACTGTATATATATATATATTTTTTTTTTCTTTCAACGGTCGCGGCCACTCCGACTGACCGCAAGCGCCACAAGTGGGGCACGCGCCGCCAGTTGAGAAGGCCTGCTGTAAGGTCATACATGTGTATGAATGGAGCTTGAGGTATCCTGTAAGATACAGTGTAACAAATAGAGTACCGGTAACAAGAGGGAGGGAGAGAGAGAGAGAGAGAGAGAGAGAGGGGGAGAGAGGGATGGATAGAGAGTAAGAGAGGGAAAGAGGAAGAGGGGAAAAACAAAAACTACTTGCTTTGATCGCCTAAGGTTTGTAAGATAGATCAATACTTCTCCACCTGTTTATTCTTATTTGAACGCATGTAGTTTTGGAATCTGGGATAATTTTCATGAGGTTTCTACATCCATGGGTTTAAGATGCCCGTTACTGGAGCATATCTGTTTTCATTGCAAAGCAAAATAACCATCCTCTCCTTAATAGTCACTCCACATTTCGATGCAGAATTTTGAGAAATGGAGGACGATACCTTAACCTGTACTGTGCCATTGTTTAAAAAGATATTGACAAAGAATTTTGATATTGTTTTATATTTTTGAACTATGGACAGCTGTTGTTTTGCTCTCTGAAAGAGAAGCACGTGTATGGTTGGTTCCCAGTGAAAATATTTTACACCTAATTTCTGCCCAAACGAGGCATTAAAAGTTAAGGCCTTATGTAACTTTATTTTTCATTTTTCAGTCTCTTTGGGATCAGATTTTGCATATCTATAGGTTGAATACAACTTGTTAGGAAGGAAAAACACACACATTAGGCAGTTTAAAGTGAAAAGCAATTGAATGTTATACCACCCTTTGAGTTGATTTTTCTTTTTTATTCATTGTCCCACTAATGTTAAATTATGCTGTACTTAATTAAATCTCCACAACACCTTTCAAGCATAATTTCGACCTAGCCTGTAACACAAAGCACTTGGTAAGCCTTGTGTTACAGAGCCCACTCATTTGTGAAAACTAGGTGATCACTGATTTGGTACTGCTTTGTAAACGTAGAATGTCAATGTAGAATTCTATAAGATAATAAGGTTATCTTATGAAGATGTTGAATGAGTGAGGGTAGTGGAAAATATATGACTTATCCCACCCCCACCCCCCATTATATGTATCATACAAATATCCAAAAGTGTGAATATTTTCAGCTATCATATACATTTAACCTGGGTCCAGACATGGGGGAGGGGGGAGGAGGCACTAGCATCATAGAGTGGCTGCAAAAGGTTTTACTTGATAGATGCAAATGCAAATGAATAAGGTCACTAATTAAGGGGTGTTGGAGGGGGTCACAGCAGTTTACTTTCATGTGACCTTTCTCCTCTCCCCTTTCCTCTTTTTTCCTCTTTTTTCCTTTTTTTTCTTCTTTCTTTTAAAACATTTTTCAACCATGAAGGAGGGGGGGATGTGTCCCCCTGTGCCCCCTGTAGCTGTGCCACTAAACAAGAAACTACAGTTATTAATTGATTACATTTATGAACATGGGATAACACAAGATCACTGAGTTGTGGATACTCTAATAGCATGTTGGGTCGACTCACCATGCCACTCGTGTTTTAATGTTTAAATGGGGATTAAACATTATTGTGCTTGTTCCTCATTATAGCGGGACTGTACTACTTGTAGCTACTTGCGCCCTCAATAAAGCAAACAATGCCTAATCAATACCCGTTGGTCCCTTATGATCCCCTTTTTCTTATGCTAATTGAGAGGTATTTGATGAGATAACCACCTGTCAGTGACCTTGCAGGGAGGTCTAATCCCTGCTGGCCAAACTAGTGCAGACAGGCTTTAATGTATTACTTCTTATGAATTCTCATATTCAGTGTGGACAATGCTTTTGCTTCACAGTCGTTGTATGTTTCTTGTTCAACATTTTGGAACATACATGTAGATAACTGTCATTCCAAAATTGGAGAATAGCTATAAATAATGACATGCTGAAGCTTTTCACCTTGTCTTCATTAGAGTGAGCAAGAATGAACAAAATGTTGAAAATCAAACGGTACACACATTTGTCTGTTGTGTGAACAGACCCTCTTATTGATTTCTCCGTGAGGAAGAACCGACCTGTGATGATAACTTCGGAGCTGACGTCTTTCTCACCTCACCAGATTTGGGTCAAAGATTAGAAGGAAAGGCTGGATGAGGTTTCTTAGCTTTTCATCGTCGTCGTCGGTGACAAGTGCTCACTTATTGGAAGATTGCACTCAAATGAAATCATGGAAATACCCCACAGGGAAAGACAAATTTGATTTCATCTCTCTTCCCTAATAGGTAATAGGAGACATCAAGATTAGATGTAAATCGTGTGATAATAGTAATAAAGTGTTTCTGGATATGAAAAATTATCTTAGTAAGCTACCGAGACCCATGGTGATGTATCAACCGTCCTCAGGGGATGCTTCGTATTTAATGCGATGATTTCACATCAAGAATCAAGACCTGTATGAAGTTGACTTCACAGCTACCGATAACTTCCGCGCTCTAGTGTTGGCGTAGAGCTGCATCATCAAATGTACTCTCTAGTCAATTCTACCCTTTTTAAAGCGGGACTGCACTACTTGTAGCTACTTGCGCCCTCTATATAGCAATCAATGGCAAAGCGGCACCCGTTGGTCCCCCATGATCCCCTTTTACTTATGTTAATTGAGAGCTGATTTGATGAGATAACCACCTGTCTGTGACCATACAGGGATTTTTAATCCCTCCTTGCCAAACTAGTGCAGACAGGCTTAAAGCTCATTCTTATTAGCCGCGGTTTACAGCACTTGATTTTTTTTTTTGTGTACTAAATAAATGGCAAGTGGGGATGAAAATAGTTGCTGCACTCAACAATTAGTCCTACGCGTACTCACTTGACCATATGTTATAAGATACGGTTTAAAAAGTTCCCGTGTTAAACCACCACCGTACACTATGGCATGTATGAACGAACCCAGAGGGTGTAGTAAAACGTGCAGCGTCTAAATTCATCTCTAAACATTTCCAAGTGAAAAACAAAGTCTTAATTTCAGGTTTTAGAATATGATATGGTGATGCCTCAAATGTCAAAAACAAGGATCTGCAATTTTGAGCCTGTATAATGTCACTTTGGAATAAACAAGTCCACCACACGTACGATTCTCCATCTCTATTCGTTCTGGTTTCGTACATATTCCTTGTTATTAAAGGTAAAGACCAGTATTGGAAACGCCCCAATTTCAAAAAATGAAATGGAAGCTCTCATTACCAATCATGTGAAAGAATATGTTTTGACTAATACATGATGATAAAAAATTTGCCGGGAAACCGCCCACTAATTCATATATTTGGTAAATTTGTTTCTCTCATGGTCTGTGAGAGATATAGGGTAGTCCCATATACATCTTTCTGTGTATAGTGCTTGTAACTTTACGAAGAATGGGCCAAATTTCTTATCATTTTGATGATTCCAGAACCTTGCAGATGCTAGATGCTAGATGATCAACCTTTTCTGATCGATTCCACAACGTTTCTTTCACAATGCAATCGCATGACCATAACTAGTCTTTACCTTTAAAGGGATGAGCGCTCTGATGGTTGCAACTTTTGCCCTTTTGATTGTTCATCCCTTACACCCTTGTTTATTCCTAACAAGATTACTTTTCATCATACACCAAGAGGATGTACGGACTATACCTGATATTAAACGGGATGAGTTTGTAAGTCAACGGGATGCAAACCTATGCATATTAAGCAGGTGTCGAATTGGTTTGTCCTATTTCTTTTGGAGTTGCTTTCCTTTTTGAATATTGACATGGATGTGCTGGATGTTTGAATCTTTTATTAGTGCGAGGTGTCGCTCGTGGTTAATATGTGCCGTAATCCAGGAAGGATAACTGTCAGACCTTTGTTTTCCGGTGCTCCGTCTCACTTTCTCTTGTGTAGCCTCGTCTAGTTTTTTTTTTCCCTGTTCCTCTGTCTCTTTCTCCCTGTTTCTCTGTCTCTTTCTCCCTGTTTCTCTGTCTCTTTTTAACCTTTTGCTCAGGTTCTGCTTATAGATCTGTCTCATGTTAGAGTAATGTTACTATGTATGTATGGTTTCTTTTCTCTTGATTAGTATCTTTTCTAGTTGATCCCACCGTATAGTAGTAATTATATCCTGCATCAAAAATTTGTTGGCTTCTGATTGGTTGAGAGCTCGTCACATGACCAAAAATATTTGAGCTATTTTTAGAAAGTACTATATGAGAGTACTATTTTGGTTTACTATTTGGGAGTTGAAAAAAAAATGTGAATTTTTTTTTTTGAATTGAATCAATTTTTTTTTTCAAATCTTAATTTAATGAAAACAAAATATTTTAAATCTTTTTAGATAAAAATTGACATTTTTTTTCCCAAAAATGTTTTTTTTTTAATTTTTTTTTTTCAAATAAATTTTTGATGCAGGATATAAAACAAATATACCATGCCTTCTATTCGAGGTACTGGTTAAACTATGGGCCTCGGTGACTCCAAAAGTACCATTTGCTTCGGGGCTGCGCCCCTCAGCAAATAGTACTATTGGAGTCACCTCTTGCGCATAGTTTTAACCAGAACCTCTCAAGGCAGTGTATATTTGTATACTATTATCAAATTTTTCTCTGAAAATGCCAGTGACCATGATACAAATGTGATAATTCTGGATGTAAATTTGATATTATTCTTTTCTCCCTCTCCCTCTTCCTCCCTTTCTCTATCTCTCTTTCTCTCTTATCCCATCCTCTCCCCTCTCTCTCTCTCCTTGCTGTTTTCATCCTTTTATACCCCCCTCTCCCTGTCTCTCTCCTCTTTCTTTCTCTTCTCTCTCTCTCTCTCTCTCTCTCTCTCTCTCTCTCTCTCTCTCTCACTCGCTCCCCCTCTCCCTCCCTTCCTCTCTCCCTCCCTTCCTCTCTCCCTTCCTTCCTCTCTCCCTCCCTTCCTCCCTCCCTTTCTCCCTATCTCCCTTTCTCCCTTTCTCCCTTTCACCCTTTCTCCCTTTCTCCCTCTTCTCTTTTTCTTTCTCTTTTACAATTTTATTCTTTAGCTAAATCCAGTTTTCAGACTCTCATAGAGAAAGCTGTGATGGCTCTGCTCAAGAACATCAATGGAGGTGCTGTCAAGGTGATCAAAATATTTCATTTTAATTCAATTTTTAAATAATTATTTTGTAAATGATAATGAGATCATAAATAATTTCTTATAAAATATGGGTTTGAAGATAGATACATGTGTGAGGGTAACAACCAGATAAACAACACATGAATGTGAAAGTTTATGAGGAGATGAGGGGAGGAGGCTTAAATGCATCCTTAATTTGAATATTGAATGCAATATTACGGATATTAAAAATGATAGAATTACAACAAAAACAATAACGATGACCAAAAAATATGATACGTATTTGCAAGCTCGGTGGCATTGTGTGGATATCAGTTTTAAAGTAATCATTCTTGCCAATCCCTGTTGATTTTGTGAAAAGCAACGTATCATTGAAAAAAAAAAAAATTTTAGTTTTTATTTCCTGAGACAGATCTTGAATAAAAGATGAGTCTCAATGTACTCAAATTTCTGACGATATTCAGGAAGACAGTTATTATGAACATTATTCATTTGGCATCACCTTTGCCTTGGATGGGAACATGATCAAAAAACGCTTGGGTTTCCCTGCCTGGAACAAATGACTTGGGGGGGGGGGGGGGTGTTTCACAAAGATCCTAAGTTGGACTTATCTCTAAGTTGGACTTAACAGTTATGGAAAGTCGTCAGCATCTTTGAAAATATTTAACCCTAAGGCATAAAATGTTGATTCAAATCATTCAGATTTTCTATTATCAAGGAAATGTCATGTTCTTGATGTTGAATTTTTGAAAAGTCTAAAATACTTGAAATTTTGCTTTTGTATACCGGTATATTTTATTTTAAGGCTACATATGGCTCTCCATAATGTTTAAGTCCAACTTAGAGTTCTGTTTGACTAAGGATCTTTGTGAAACACCCCTGGATGTACACGTGTACGAGTCCCTGTAGTCTACACAGGGATTTCCCCCTACTTGTGTTTGAAATAACTACTATTTCCATGTAGACAGCTAAGGAATATATCTTTAATTTTGTGATTGTGGTTATGGTTTCGTTTTTCATCCCAGTAGACTGACAGCCCACAAGACAGAAAAAAAAGTTTGTCTAGATAATTCTCAGAGCGATTGTCAGACGATCTATCTTGTTACTTTTGGTTTCATGAGCTACCGTCAAACCTGCTTTAGTGACCACCTGTCCACAAAGACCATTTTTGTTTCCCTTGAAAATGGTTTCTCATTGAAACATATACTAAAGGAACCTGCTGACAAAGACCACCTGTCTACAAAGATCACTTTTTGTGTTTCCCTTGGGCGGTCGCTATAGACAGGTTTGACTGCTTTATTCTTATTTGTATTCTGTCTGTTCTTGTGTAACCGTAGGTGCGATGGAATGCATGCTATGCTCTAGGGAACATGTTCCGGAACCCTAACCTTGGCCTTGGGACGGCACCGTGGGGGTCAGAGGTCTATAGGTCACTCATTAAGGTCATCACAGAGTGCAAGAACTTCAAGGTAAGACGGTCAAAAAGGGTTTCCAGTAGACTTTAAAGCCCCACTGCTCTACTTATAGCTACATGTACTTGCACCCCTATATACACACCTGTAGCATACAATGCCTAATCAGTGCCTGTTGGTCCCCCATGATCCCCTTTTCTTGTGTTAATTGAGAGCTGATTTGATGAGATAACCACCTGTCAGTGACCTTGCAGGGAGGTCGAAACCCCCTGGCCAAACTAGTACAGACAGGCTTTAAAAGATTCATGAGACTGGCTCATAGTACAAGTTCAAAATATGAAAAAAGACATATTTACAAATTTTGTGATTTTGTTTCTTCTGCTGTATCCTGCAGTAAGACAGTTAGTGAGTGTGATCCTTTAAAGGGATCGTCTAACAATGTTAAATCTGAGATGCATGGCCCTACGTGTTATCAGTGTCTGTGATATGGTGTAATATTGAAGCCCTAACAAAAAAATGTGCTTCAAGATGATCATGAAGTTCCTCAAAATCTTTCAGTGACTGGTTTTACCATATTCATTTTCCAATAGACTGTAGTGTAATAAAAACTGTTAGGAAAACAAATTCTGACATTTGTAATTCCAATCATAGATTTCTTGATAATCAGACAGGCAATTAGCTTGTAAAAGTAATGAGATTCAAGTATGACCTAAATGTTTATAATTATGATTGCAGCATGAGCTAAATCCAGGATTTGAGGATTTGAAGAATCTGAGGCATAGTTACCCAGTTTTACTCTACAATATATATGTAGATCCCTTCTGAATTCCATTCCAAATTGTTGATAAAACACTTCTAGAATGGCTTGATATGGGAATGATTCCTATGATGATATGAAATTTGAATGTTACTAAAGTGGAGCAATAAAAATACTGTTTATTTTTAACACATGTCCAATTTCACACATTTTCAACAACAGTGAAACCCATCAAAATATTGTACAGTGAATTATTACCTTGGTCTTTACAAATCTGCATGTTTAGAATATATTGTCATTAGTTGAAAGGCCCCATAATCAAAGTTGTTTCAATATTTGTTAAAGGTAAAGGCCAGTTATGGTCATGCGATTGTATTGTGAAAGAAACGTTGTGGAATCGATCAGAAAAGGTTGATCATCTAGGATATAAGTATTGGTGTGTACTGCAAGGTTCTGGAATCATCTGAATGATAAGAAATTTGGCCCAGTCCTGGTAAAGTTACGAGCACTGTACACAGTAAGATGTATATGGGACTACCCTATATCTATCCAGTCCGGATAGATATAATAATTACCAAATATATCAATTAGTAGGCGGTTCCCTGGCAAAATTTGTATCATCACGTATTAGTCCAAACATATTTTTTTCACATGATTAGTGATAATAATAATAATAATAAAAACGTTACTTATAAAAGCGCTTACCACCAAAGTCTCTAAGCGCTATACACACAAAATAGACTGATATATAGTTACATCTTATACAAAATTAAAAATGCAAATAAACATACAAATTACAATACATATGGAATACAAGTCAAAGTGAACAGAGTTAATTAATCGTTGAACACAATTTTGAATAAATGTGTCTTGAGACTAGTTTTGAATAGGTTAAAGGTTTGACAGTTTTTTAGATTTAAAGGTAATCTGTTCCAAAGTTCAGCAGAAGTTTTGCGAAAGGAGCTTCCATTTCATTTTTTGAGAGGGGGCGTTTCCAAAACTGGTCTTTACCTTTAACAATGTTTTGAATTTTCCTTCATAATTTACTCTTTATCCTTTTATCCACCCTTACAGGTGCGGATCAATGGTGCCCTAGCGCTCTCCATCCCATCCAAGAGACTTGATTACGGTTCCATCGATCAGTTCACCAGGGTGTGGTCCTGTCTGGTCCAAGCCACTGCGGTCATCGGTCAGGTGTCAGAGATATCTGAGCTGAAGTACAGAGATACACTTCGAGATCAGGTCAGTATAGGGACTCGAAAGGATGAAATGATGACCTGACATTTGCTCCGACGACAATTGCTCCAGGCTTTATCTTGTCAAAAGAATAGTAGTAGTAGTAGTAGAATTTATTGGATAACTTGTTTAGCACAGGGCTAATCTTCCACAAGGTCCATCTGGGTATACTGGTATAGTGGGGTCTGCAGGTGGACCAGTAGACCAGGGTTCCCCCCTACACTTACCGGTATACGAATAGTGCAGTGGGTTCCTAATGTGCAAAGGTGGGGACTCTCCTCTACATGGGGCCTCCATGTAATGTCCTATCCAAGGGACAGAGTGTTTTCCACTTAACATAAAGTTAGGGTTATTGTTGCAGTTGGGGTTTAGGTTTAGGTTTAGGATCAGGTTTAGGATCAGGGTGAGGGTTAGGTGCCTGTCTATTGAAGCCACCCAAGGGATAAAGAAAAAGTGGCCACTCTAGACCTTACCTGAACATTACATTAACTCTAACACTAACACTAACCTTAAACCTAACCTACAGGCAAATTGCAATCCTAATCCCAAACTTGACCCTCTATAATTGGTGAAACAAATCCTGGAGTAATTCTTGCTTGAGCAAAGATAAGATAACCTGTCCAACACACTGATACTTGGATGGTATTTTCAGCTGGCATCATGAAAAGGATTAGGGCTGCATTCTTATAAATGATAGATCATAATCCTTGTTGTCATATATACAGAAAGATCACCTTCATAATCGACAGTGACTGCTAAATTTATCTTCCAAGTTAAGCCAAGACCTGGTGTAAAGAATTAAAAGTAGGACTTTGGATTTTGGAAATTGCACCCTGACTGGAATATGGCAACTCTAAAAGATGACTGACATGTTCTTCCAGAAGCTAGATTAAAAACTTGAGCAAGATATTGTGGGGAAGATAATCACTTTGAACTTGCGTCATTGCAATGATTTTTCCTGTCTAGGTAAATTCTTGATGAAAGGTCAGTTAAGCGAGCGCCATAGCTTCTGACAATTTGCATTGTAATTGAAAATTTGTATTATGCGGTAGAAAGATTAAAGACACATACATGTAAGCATGGGTTCTCATGGGGAACTTGATACCATTCGGGTATTCATCTGATAATAGAAGCTAGCAATCTTCGGGAGTCGTCCTTATTTTTAACATTAGGACCCTGTTTAATCAAGTTTGTTTTTTCACTAAAAGGTTTACAATAACTGTTATAAGCTACTGAAATTGTAGCATTAGGTTGGCTGAGAGCAACTTTGTCATTAACAAAATTTGCATTTGTTATTGATAACAAGTTTTTTATGGAACAGGGCCCAGGTCTTATGTAATGCTCTGCACTTTCAATCAATTGCCCCATAAACAAAGCTCATCATCATAAATATCCCCTCACCAGAAGGCCCTAAGAGTGACTGGGGGTGTATATTGGTGGGACATCTAATTCGCTGTTTGGAAGACTTTGTACACCCATAAATGGTATTTCCAATAAGTCTGGTATTAGGGACTTATGATATTGCGCATGGAAAATAGACTGGATTACTACCATATCCAAAGGTATGGATGCCTTTTTCCTGGGGACCCAGGGTATTTCATTAATCTGTTATTAATGAATGAACTACAATACCTGGAATCCAGTCTGCATACAAAACTTGTTGCTATGTCAGACAAGTCTCGGGCAAGCTTTTGGGTTGTCACAAACAACCTTTTTTCAAACAGTATGCATAAAATTGGAATATGTTAGTAAACCTGTCTATTGTCGACCATATCCCTTTAAGTCTCGGCGTTAAATGCCAGGGCAAGTCTTTAGGTTATTTATAACCATGAATAACAAAAACAAAGCAGTACATCGAGGGTTCAGTGACGCAAAGACATAACTCCACATTTTGCCAAAATGAGTATTTGATATCAAAGTTGTTTAGAAAAATGTGGGCTTTCCAGGAAACACAAAGACTTAACTCCACCCAATGCCACATTCAAGTCAAAGACTCGTGAAACATAGGGCGTGTTCACACCGCAAGGGGGGACCGTGGGCGGACCATGGATCGCGCTATTGTAGCGCGACCCACGGTCCGCCCATTGGCATTCGCCGGATTCACACCGCAGTGAGAACTATCGTAGCACCCCCTTTTTTGAGAGGTCCTGTTGCCATGACGGGTGACGTCATGAGGTCAGAGCGGTCAAAGATTTTGCGTGCTATTACGAACTAGGAGTGTTGAGTTGTACCGATTCAGATTCAGATCGCACCAAAATACGAGTATAAAATTCCCCGAGTGTAGGACGATGACTTCCGGCGTGCTATCGTAGCTCGGGTTCACACCGGCAGAGATAGCGTGGTCTAGCGCGCGCTAGAAAAAAGGTGGTGCTACGATAGACCGCGCTATCTCATTGCGGTGTGAGCAGCCTCATAGACTTAACTTCATAAGGCCCAAGTGGACCTCTATCTTTAAACCCCTTTTTTTCATAATGGCCAAAATGGAGTTACGTCTTTGTGTCACTGACCCCTCGACATGAATCAATACGTTTGTATCAACTACCGTATCTTTATTCATGAATTTTTTTTGTCGTGATTCTATTTTTTCGCCACAGTTATGTCAAACCATAATCCACCTTGCCCTGCTGGTTGACGGAGATGACCTTTCCGACCTTAATCCCATCATGCAAGGCAACGTGGACATGATGCAGTCCAACATCCAGAAGTTTTCATCCACGAGCAGTACAGCCTCCGCTGGACAGAAGCCGCATGGTAAGTGAACTCATCAGTCCTGATAATTACCCAATTTATTTTTTTCCTGATTTTCTTATTTTTCCCCTTTTTTCCCTTGTTTTTTCCAACATGTATTTTTCCTATTTCTCCTATTTTTCCTCCAATTATCTTACTCAAGAGATGGTGAATGTTGATAGATGCCACCCCCCCCCCCCAAATCCTTTTTTTTTTTTACTCAAGGGAGGGGGGGGGGGTATAGGTTTGTTTTTTGGTGCACACTTTCACCCCTGCTCATCCAGTGCCACCATGTTTATAGAAACGTCATGAGATGTCATAGCGCCTTTTTCATTTTTATCTTGATATGAAAATGGTTTCATGATACTTATTTCCATAAGTCATGAATCTTTTTTGAGTTTCAATAAGAAAAGCAGGATTTTTTGGAGCCAAGATCAACTCAGAAAAGGAGACGCAATGATTTAGTCGTAGAGCAGTGGTCTCGTAACTGGGAGGTCCCGGGTTTTGAGCGCAAGTCAATGCTCTAGTGCCCTTTGGTAAGATATTAATCCTTTTTACCAAGTCCCTCTGAGAGGACTTAAAGCCCTTGGTCTCCTGGTTGCTTACTTACAAGCATACACATGCTTTCTTATGAGTCAGGTAAAACAAACCATCAAACCAAACCAAGAGTTGTCATGAGATGTTATAGTGCCTTATTTCATTTTTATCTCGATATGAAAATGGTTTCATAGTACTTATTTCCATAAGTCATGAATCTATTTTGAGTTTCAAGAAGTAATGCAGGATTTCTTGGAGCCAAGATAAACATGGAAAAGGAGGCGCAATGGCTCAGTGGTTGAGCAGTGGTCAATATACCTCACCTTGGTGGAGTATGGCAAATGGAGATTAACGTCTTGCCAAGGAATGTTAGTGTTGTGGCAGGGATTTGAACCCCGTACCTTGTGGTTCACAGCCCGAAGCCTTAACCACTGGACCACAACACCTTTATGCAGTTAACCACATCACGTATGGACAAGACTTAACCCATCGACTACAGAATTCTTTCTTTCCCATAGGCATAAAACAGTATCCAAATACATCCTGTATCCAATAGGTTAAGGAGCCCCTAAGTTCACATCTTAGTTAGATAACCTACACAATAGAACAGTGTTAACCTTCAAAGCCAATAATTCCACCTCATCATCCATAATCCTCTATTTTATTTATTCAATTATTTATTTCTGATATTTAGACAGGGTGACTCATTATCACCAATAATGGTGGTCATAATGAACAATAGTTAAACAAAATAATAAATAAAAAACAAAATAATGATAGTAACAAAATTGTGAACATAAACTCATAACAGCAACATTAAAGAATAAGTAAGAACATTTATTAACATAGATACAAAGTAGATCACGACAACGTAACAAGCTATCATGTTTAAGTCCAGTATTGAATACGTTAAGAAGCCTCTAAGATCACATCTAAGTGAGATAACTTACATGACAGAACAGTGTGACCCTTCACAGCCCTAACTCAAGCTCACCATTCATGATCCTTTGTCATTCAAGAGATTATAACAACATACCAACATATCCAAGTCCCTTATACAATGGGTTAAGAAGCCTCTAAGTCCACATCTAAGTTAGATAACCTACATAACAGAACAGTGTGCAGTGTGTTGTGGTGGTCATTTTACCTGACTGATAAGAAAGCATAAACGCTTGTTAGTAAACAACGAGAGGACTGACGGCTTTAGGTCCTCTCAGAGAGACCTGGTAATGAGGATTAATGCCTTACCAAAGCCATTATCCCAGCTCATCTTCAATCTTGATATTCTATCTTTCAAGAGATCATAATGACATAACAAGCTATCATATCGGAGTCCTTTATCCAATAAGTTAAGAAGCTTCTAAGTTCACATCTAAGTGAGATAACCTTCATGACAGAACAGTGTCACCCTTCAAAGCAAATAATCCCAGCTCACCATCCATAATCCTCTGTCATTCAAGAGATTATAACAACATAACAACATATCCAAGTCCCGTATACAATAGGTTAGGAAGCCTCTAAGTCAACATCTAAGTTAGATAACCTACATGTAGAAGCGTTATAGTCGAGCGGATCACAAGGTTCACGGTTCGAGTCCCATCGCGGCACTAATGTCCTTTGGCAAGACATTAATCTGCATTTGCCACACTCGACCCAGGTGTTGTAAAATGGGTACCTGGCAGGAATCAATTCCTTGAAATGCTAGCGCACTGTAATGTCAGCCATACTAAAGCTGGGGTAATAATTGCGGAGCGCCAGGAGTGTCAAGTCTGACAGATATGAGCGCTATACAAGAACCAATTATTATGACAAAACAGTGCTAACCTTCACAGTCATAATCCCAGCCCTCAATCATGATCCTGTGCCATTCAAGAGATCATAATGACATAACAAGCTACCATGCTGTGCCAAGTCCTTCCCAGTTATATATCCTGTTTGGTCTGATGGTGATCTTAAAATAAATTATTACAAAATATTTCAAAGTAATTCTTAATGTTCTGGGCTAATAAAAATGGTGTCATTTGGCAAATCAATTTGGTGGAAAATATTAGATACTTGAAGAATAAGCAATGAACATGAGGAAGTCGAGCCGATCTCACCCAGTGATTGAATACATAGTCCCATGTGTTCATATACTTGTAAGTATTTTCCAGAGTATGCGATTTCAGTAATTTTCATGAGTCTATTTACATTTTGCTTCCTAACAAGCCAATAGCTGCATAATAAACAGTTTCAGAATTACTTTCAGACATTTTTTTTTTAAATGCAAGTGGCAGTGCTAGAACACCAGACTACATTCAACATCACCCACACTAAGCCTTTGATAACAACCATCATTCAATCCCTACTTATAAAGTGACTTAGTGTTTCAGTTTTCTCACCTCAAGTGTTATTGTAAGGATCTTCTTGTGTCACTAATGATGTGTTTTCCAAGTTCAAATGCAGTCCAAATACCTGACATACCCCTGTTGGGTGTTAAGAAAAGTTGAATGATGGTTCAAACATTAACCCTTTTAGAACAGGATTTATTTTAAGGGCTGAATTGATCACATGTAGTTCTTCAAATTGGCAACAATTATGTATTTTTTTATAGCCACTTTGTTCTAATAAAATATAATGTCTATAAGAACAATATCTATGTGTACATACTTCGTCAAAAAGTCGAGAAAATTGCCAATTACTTTAATAATGGTTCAGAACCTCTCAATTTGCTGCCAATTTAAGAATTTTAAAGCTTATTTTCATTTATAAAATTCCTGGCATCAAACGCAATATGGTCACGCAAAAAAAATGGATGCAATGAGTGTAGAAATGTTTGCTCTTTTTCCTCCTGGATATTGTATATTTTTTAGGGTTCTGAATCAAGAGTTATTTAGCCAAACAACAAAATGTGGAATTATTGTTATTGAAGGGTTAAAGGGATCTTGATACACAAGCAGTGGGCAGGAATGTCTTTAGGGTATTAAGAAAGCAAAACAGCTGATGATAGAAACTTGTGGAAATCCTTCACGTATGTTTCAAGATTCTTCAGCTGTCACCAAAATGGCCCCAAGCTATAGAACATATATGTAAAGGTAGATGAAATAGATCGAAAATGTCCATCACATTGTCACCCCAGCGGCTCCCAAGCTAGATAGATAGTATACACATTTCATTGCCATTTTTTCTGCTGATAGCCTAAATAGCATTTAGTTTCTTGTCAAATAATATGAGTCAAAGCCATTCTGGCTTGCATCAGATGATTTTTTTAGATACATTTTTTAACTCCCTGAGCCTACAGTCGCATGCTGATCTACGAATGGCTGAAAAACGTAACATTCATTTCCAGGCCAAGCATGCATTTTCCAGTGCTGAGGATTTCTGTAGAAATTCTGCCCAGTAGGCAACATTTCATTCATCTTGTCTTCTATGTTTTCATGTTCATTTCATGTTTGTTTAACTTTGTTACCATGGCATCATATTCGTACAGATACAATTCAACTTTTGAATATACATGTTTTATTGTTTTTCATAAAGTTATGGAAGAGGCAAGATTTTATAGGTTGCAAGATTGATTATTTTGCTCTGAGAATGAGAAGTAATTTCTCTCTCATTAATTGCTGATCACTTTCAGGATCTTTTGAAATAGCAGTAACAGTATTCCAGAACAAATCTACCTTTTTTTCTTTTATGGCTATGTCAAAATATCAAATAGTACCTTTAATTAAAGAAGATTACTATTCTATACTCCCCATATGGCAAAGTATTTCTGTGTTCTTTCTTGACGAGCTACTAACCATCTTGCTGTAATTATGACTAAGTTACATACACAAAAGATTATGGGTGGGTCTATCTACTGGGTGGTCGGGGCTGTATTAAGATGTGAATGACGGAATCAGGTCAAGGTATTTCAAATTTCAGGAGGGAAAAATCTTCCTCCTTATCCAAGTATTTTTTTTATGATTGAAATTTAGGAGCTCAGCTCTTGTGCTAATAATGAATATCAGACAAATCAATGGTGGTCACTGTTTTTATTTTGCTTTACAAGAAATTAAGTAACTACGGTAAGCAATATGTACAAAGGCCAAATGAGAAATACAAGATTCTTTGATTCTTTAATGGAAGGGGAAGGGGCTTTATCAAACTGGTGAGCAAAAGAGGAAATAATACAGGTCATCCAACAATTTGTAGGTCAATTTTTATCCCAAAATTTACTGACAAGCACCAAAAAAAAAGAAAGAAGAAGAAGAAGCGAAAAACTTAGAAGGACAAGGTTATTAAATGTTCAATTGCCTTTTAAGGGCTAAGCCCTTTCGAAGGGGCACAATCAGGGGGCATATTCCCTTTGATATAGTTATTGTTTACTACTTTCCCTTAATCTCTTCATAATCAAAAGAGATTGACATGATGCAGTGATTAAAGGATTGGTTAGGGCGGAAGTCCAGGGTATCTGGATGTTTAGATCAATCAGCTTGTTTCCCATATAAACATATTACTAGTAGATAGAT